TTTTTTTTGGCTCTTTACTAATTATCAATATTATAAATGTTGGATTATTAGTAATAATAAGTAATCTATTAAATTTTATTAGACATTATAGTGTATGAAAATTGGAAAATTACAGAACTTTGTAAACCCATAACTTTTTATGGGGGTATGACCGCCGCGAACTTTTTATGGTGGTTTACTCGGGAAGACGTCCTCTTTCAATCCCCCCTGCCCCCACCCCCGAAAGGGACAGTCTAGACCTTTACCCCTTAATCTTTTTTAATAACATCCGAACCCCATTTAAAATTACATGCCAACCCCTGGACTAGACCTCATGCCTTCATTCTAATATCTCCTTGTTTCTAATTTCTAACCGAAAGTAAGACTCAATAATCTGTGCCGAACAGAGACTGCAGCACAGTTATTTATTACGCTCTTTACTGTACAAATTTGTACAATACGCCGACCTTGTTCACGTAATCTGCAAAACACACAATCAAAACATCTTTATATTCTATAACTACTGTATTTAACAACACCTTACTCTGTATCGTGATAGCATCATTCATTTAAAAATAAAACCAGTTTAGGTATTTTGTATTGTCGTGTGTTGATTCTTACCCGTAGTAACATTTGTATGTAATTAAATTTTAAATTATTAAGACTTCTAATGATGTTTTCAGATTCTATAGGTACTATTTCCTGTGTTCTCGGTTATGACTTGATCGTTTGCCAAAAATAATTTATTTGCGGAATTGTTCGCAGGAAATTTTGGATTGTATTATTCATACATAATTTCTAAATTTGATCTTAAATTTCAACCTAGTTATATACCTTTTACATTAGAATTAATGTAGTCAAATTAAAAATTTACCTTCTTTTACCTATCCTTAAATAACCAATAAGAAACTTATCTCCACATTATTTTATTGATGCGTGTCGCTTATCACCCCCTTGGATTTCAGCGTCCCCAGGCTAAAGCTGATCCGGTCCATTACGCTTTGCTCTGATGTAAAAACATCCAAAACAATAATCATGATTCCCAAATTAGATTCAAATTATAACCAAAATTTTATGGAAAACTGTACCATTATCCTTTATTTTGTAGCTTTTTAAAACAAAACGTAAAAACTACTCGGTTCAGACCTTATTTCAATCCCAAATCTGCCGATAGAAGTAAACTTGTTTCGATTCGAATTTTATTTATCATAAAACGTTTATTAATTACACTACTCTTTAATTTATATATATATCGAAGTCGCGGTAAACATCATTAAAAACAGGACAACTTTAGTGATAGATATTCAGAGGTAAAAGATTAATATGCTTAGATTTGCAGATGATATAGCAGTGTTAGTATCTAGTAAGGAGTTAGAGATAGCATTAAATAAAATGGAAGAGGTATTACAAAACAGTATTGTATGAATGTAAATAAAAGAAAAATACTGGTATACAAGGAAAGAAGAAATAGGGAAAGAGTGAATATAAAGATAGGAGGTAGAAAATTAGAAGAAGTGACTGATTTTCGGTATCCAGAAAGTCGGATAGCTCAGGATGAAAGGGACATTACGAATATAAAACAGGAAGCGAAGCGTTAACTTAACTAAAAGATGCATGTCTCAAACATAGAGCTGTACGGGTGCGAAACGTTGGGCGCGAAGGAAAGAAAGAAAAGGTTTGAAGCGTTAGAAATGTGGTGTTACAGGCGATTGATAAGGATACCCTGAATAAAAAATAAGAGAACAGAGGACTCTACGAAAGTAAATAAGAAATAGTCGAGATAGGTTAGTAGGACGCCTTCTCAGTCATGAAGGGCTAATTAGAAACATATTAGAAGAAGAAACAGGAGTTAAGAAAAGTAGAGGTAGTCCTAGATTAGATTACTGTTCGCAAATAGTTTTAGGGAAATGCGAAGATTAGCTCAGGATAGGAAAGAGTGGAGGTGCGTGTCCAACCAATCTAAGGACTGACGATCTTATGATGATGAAACTAACATCAGCTTTACTTGTATTATATTAAATGTAGATTTTCATTTTTCACTTCTTTGACAATTAATCAATCTTCTGATAAATCGTAAATAAATATCCAACATT